TTTATTTATTTATTTATTTATTTATTTATTTATTTGATTTATATCCCGCCTATCTGGACGAATAGACCACTCTAGGCGGTTTACAATATAAAATAGAACAATATAACAATATAAGTTCTAGACTAAAGAGCCCCAAATGCTGTATCCTTTCCTCATAAGGGAGGTGCCCCAGCCCAGTCATCATTTTAATCATTCTCCTCTGCACCTTTTCAGGCTCTATTACGTCTTTTTTGAGATGTAGCAACGAGAACGGTACGCAATACTCCAGGTTCTATTGTATAGCAAAAACAGAATTTTACCAGAAATTCAAAACTCCACAACGTGACCACAGAAGGACTTATTCTGAATAAACATGCAACTGATTATTTCTCAGCTGTGAAACTCTGTATTTCTAGTGCATAGCAAAAGGAGATTTTTGCCAGAAATTCAAAACTCCACAACACTTTCTTGGCTTTCCAGATTTTTCATTTATCCCCAGACACAAATCTGAACAGAAATGGTAGGAGTGGGGAGATTCCACAACACCAGATGGAACATGATTTGATGAAAAGAACTGATAGCTCAGGAAAAGTAACGGACCTTTTCACTACCCATTCCTCTTGGTTCATGAGTGCCCATGTGTTCCTGAAATAACTTGCACTTCCCTTTCTTATACTCTCAAAGTATAAGAAAAATCAAGAGTACTCAAAAGCCTGTATTGAGTTGCATTTCCTCTGGATTCAGGACAGAACAGCAAGCAGCAGACTCCCCATGGTTCAGGTATGTGCTTACAGAGAAGTATCAGAACATTATCAAAAGTAAAACAAAAGCAGAGGCATTTCCACATTTGTGAAGGTATTCTTACTACAAATATTCATGTAACCTTCTCAGTATTCTGTGGAGTCAGCTTGACAGAAAAGGTCACTCCCACTGGGAGCAGAATATCTGGATAGCATAAAAGGGATGAAACAAATTTTGACGTTCCTCATATAAGGAACTGGATCCTAGAGGCACGTGGCAGGTAAGTGGGGTCATTTCTTTCATTTTAAGGGCCCTTCCATGGTCCTACCTCCCATAAAAATTTGGATTTGTTTTAAACTGCTCTGGCTGCTGTGGCTTTCTCCCAAAGCATCTTGGGAATTGTAACATGGAGAGAGGGCTGATAATTCTCTGGTGAAGGCCTCCAACTGCCTGCCACTACACAGGACTAGAACTGCTGGGGCTTCCTGAGGGGGAGAGCGGACATGTACTATCACAGTTACAAACTTCGTGTCTGTGATTTACATCACATTTAGTTGAAGATGTTTTGAGCCAGAAGAGATGGGATTTCTGAGATGGAGATGGGATTCCTGCTATAATGCAGCAGAGAAGAATCACCAGGATGATTCCTTCTCTCTTACATGACAGCCCACAAATGTTGCCTTTCCCTAAGGCCCAAAATATTTCTTAAGGGAACTACTGCCCCAAAGGGACAGGGTAACAGATGGAGCTACTCTCATGAGGAACAGGGCTAGAGAACCTTCCCTGTGAGGAAAAGCTGAAGCACTTGAAGCTTTTCAATTAAGAAGGACCAAAAAATGTAAATGTAGTCCTCAACATCTTTACTGAGAAGGAAGCTGCTCTTAGTATAGCTAGATTTAATTCTTTAATATGTGGGTTCAGGACTGAAGTTGAGTCGAGGTATGACAGCAGCACAGGAAATTATGGATGCTGTACCAAAAGGGGAGAAAATCATTTCTCACAGAACTAGGTTTTGAGGATCATTAGTAAAGCTTGCTGGGTGTGGATTGCAGACAGACATGGCTCCCTTACTGCTAAATAGAGCCTCTTTTCACAGGAGCAGTGACCATCTCAATATTTCTATCATGCCCTAGTGATGATTCCCCAGGACCCTTAAGATGGCTGCTCTTTGAAAGAGATGACTTGGCCTCGGCAAGCTGGGTCTCACCCAACAGGGAATGCTTCCACTCAGCAGATGTGAATTCTCTGAGGTAACGCAGTGTCAGCCAAGAGAGAGTGTAGGATACTGTGGGGGGATAGTACTCTTGGGATTATCAAAAGGAGAAATGATACTCTGAAGTGGTATTACCCAAGCAACACAGACAGAAACCTTCTTTCTTTTAACTCTAACAAAGTGACTTAAAATCCCAGGATAAATTCCTATCCACACTAGAGCCAGCCCCACCCAACAGTGGCAAGAGTCTTTATTATGTTATTGGGTTTAAAAACAACAACAAAAAAACTCTATAATGAACAAATTGGCTTAATTCTGATTAAATATGAATAGGTTAGGAAAGCATGACTTCAATTCTATGCACAATTTAACCTCATTGAACTCAATGGGATTTGCTTCTGAGGCAACACACATCAGATGGGATTGCTAGTGTAGCTGATTCTCTCTCACACACACAACCCCCCATACATATGCTACCTCCATGTCTCGTATCTGTTCCAGTTGCTTCAGAGAAGGAAAATCTGGAGCTCCCATTTTTTTCCATTGCAAATATGGGTTGGTCAGGCAGTTATCCATGTAGTAAGTGACATAGACCAGTTCTTCAAGAAGACAAAAACAAAGTAAAATGTCAATGTTTGATTTTACCTCAACATCAAGGCAGGGGCCATGACTTTGAAATATGCGGTTTCGACTTATCGTATTCTCTCATTTTCAAGGTCAAGCCCAATGTTTTGCACTATTCATTCGATAAATGGTCTTAGTGGGTCTCTGGAGATAGGAGTAGCCAGAATAATACTTCAAGAAATCAAGTATGCCTGGAATGCTGTCTGAAGAACACTCAAACAAGTCACTTTGACAAAGACGAGATTCCTGTCTATGCCTCTCAAACTGCATGCTCAGGATCCTTAACTGAGGAATGGTGATTGGTTAAAACAGATTGTGCCTCCTAAAATGCTATGTTCCACTATGTCCTTATAATATGTTTAGGTTGTGCTCAGCTGTTCGTATAGATAAATGGAACAACTGAATGTTTTTTGGTCATGGCTTCTATAACAGAATGTGATATCTATTTGCTTAAGCATCATTTCAGGAAACTGTCAGGGTTCTAGACATGGCTACCAACTTACCATTGTGTCTGGGATAGTTAGTTACATTTATCGTCACAGCACTGATATTTGAGGATGTTTGGTTATCATTGCTGGAATAGACCAATATAGATGCCTGCCAGCTCTCTTCCAGCTGTAGCAATGCTGGTTTGTGTAGGCTGGCCAGGACGCCCAGAGTACTGTAGTCTTCTGATTCAGGACTGTAGATTTTGGCAGAGACTTGTTCCTCCCCTACACAAACGTAAGAATAGCATTAAAAAAAAAGGCTTGATATTTTTTTCTGGAGAAACTTGCAAATGATGTGTATTGGAGCACTTAGTGCACTTGTCACATCTCTAAAGAGGTGATGTAGCTCAAGTGACACAAATAGTACCTGGTTCATTCCCTGGAGTCATGTATGTGTGTGTGTGCATGCATACACACTGGGAAGAAGCTTGTCTCAAATGGGGTGGGGGAGCTCAGTATGGACCATACTGAGCTAGACCACTGGTTCTTAACCTTTGTTACTCAGATGTTTTTGGACTGCAACTCCCAGAAGCCTTCACCATCAGCTCTGCTGGCTGAGGTTTCTGGGAGTTGCAGTTCAAAAACACCTGAGTAACAAAGGTTAAGAACCACTGACCTAGACTATAGTACAAGATAGCCTCTCATGTTCTTTTGGGTTCAAACTAGGTGACTGTTCATCTCAAAATGGTTGTCTAAGCAATCGAGGCTAAATAAGTAACATATTAATTTGGATCCTGTTCATTATTTAAGAAGTCCAAAGTGGCACTTTAGCCTCACAAGACAGGACAGGACATAGGTGGTTCGTGATTAGAAGGGGGGTGGGGGAGACTGTCTCAAAACCCATCCACCCCCCAATTTTGAGGTAAGAGACCCTGCTAACCTCTGTTTGGTCTATCAGCCATCCTTAGGTGAGGCTGAGAAAACAGTGATTTGGATACGGTAATTCAGTGTATGGGGAATCAAACCTAAATTGCTGACACACAACCAACCCTACATTTCACCTATGCTCACACTATTCAGTCTCTTTCTCAAATCTGCAGTCTCTACAGATTAATAACCCTAACATACATTTCATATGCACCACTGCAGCCGATTTGCTTCTTGAAACCATAATTAATACAATTGTCTGGCCTTATACTGAAAATAGGAGCCAGAAAATCTTCTAGACAGGCAAGAAAAAAGTGATATAAGACTTTTAGGAAAGGGAGAGGAAGGAAACATATTCCTGGAAAAGTCCTGGGGTCACTGAGGAGCTTAAGAAAGGAGGGTTGGAAGAACCAGTTGTCTG